TGATATATATTTCTATATATACAAAAATATATTATTATGGCGTTTCCGGCTGATAATATATTGCTGGTTTATTTACAATGGTTCAATCCATTTCTGTAGTTGAATAGCTACTTTGCGCGCGAACAATACTATGCTTGCAGAAACGAGTTACGAGCTTTAGTATAACAGCAAAGAGTATTCGAAAATTTCATTTATATGCTACGTCTGCTACGATTAACGCTTGTCGTTTCGACATTCGAGTCAAAAATGGGCTGTATACAATAATTTTAGACCTTGCTGGCGATTTACAGAAAACTTTAAAGAACAATATTATGAGTGCAGAAATGAGTTTTATTAAGTACAAATAAGTTTTAAAGCGTTTTTAATGAAATTTATTTATTTAGAAAACACACTTAATTATCAAAATAATCTCCATCATTATCTATGACCTTTAGCCATCTTTCGGCCAGCTTGCGAATACTAGAAGCGAAGAAGGTTTCGTCTTTCGATGCGATAAAATTATCCATCTATTTTCGCACTTCTTCAAATGCTCGAAAGTGTCCGTACCGGACAAGGCATTTTGCATTGACCGGAATAAATGATAATCAGAAGGGGTTATGTCTGGGCTATACGCCGGGTGCGGCAGAACTTCCCAGAGCTAGCAACATTTCCTTTATAAGTTTAGCAACATGAGTCTAGCATTATCATGAAGCAATTTCACAGGACGTTTTCCTTTGTCAGTAAATGGACGATTTCGTTCGATTTTTTGATTTAAACGGATCAATTGTTGACTGTAGCGATCATTGTTAACCGTTTCATTCGGATGGAGCAGTTCATAATATAGCACCCCCTTCATGTCCCACCAGATGCATAGCATAACTTTATTGCTGTGGATGTTGCGTTTTGGCGTTGATGTAGTAGGTTGTCCTGGATCCACATAATGTTTTCTCTTTTTAGGATTATCGTAAAAAATCCACTTTTCATCACCAGTCACGATTTTCTACAAGAAAGATTTTCTATGCTGTTTATTATACAGATTCAAACACTTCTCAAGACGATCATTTTTGTTTATTTAGAAATTATTTTAACAAAATTGAAATAACTATTAGATGCGCAACTAAGTTCCCGCTGTTTGTCAACAGATGGCTCCAGCAGTAAGTGAACAGTTTTATCGTAATGATATACGAGCTCTGCCAGAAAGATGAGAAAAAATAGTAGCTAGCGATGGGTAATACTTTCAATGATTCATTTGTAATCATTTTTTCACAATAAAGTTGCATTTTGATCAAAATAACAGCGAGAACTTAGTTGCGCACCTAATATATCATATTTATTTTATTATTATTTTTCCTCTCAAAGGAAAAAATTTTGACCAGGGCACGTTTATTGATATGGGCCTGAGTAGGTCGATAATTCAGATCATTTCTATGATTCAGAGACACACTTTTCATGACAGCGCCGCTGTCGGAATATCGCGGAACTAAAATACTGCTTAGTTTCATGGCTTCACGTCAATTTCACTCGTAATATACAAACGAAATTTTCGGATACGCTTTTCTCTTATACTAAAACTCCTACCGCGTTTCTAAAAGCATAGGATTGTTTGTTTAGGTTTTCCGCAATTCGCCAGCTACTTTTTATGAACGTGCAAGATCTGAAACTCTTATATGCAACACATATTGTGATGTGTTGATTACAGAAGCCGATAACAAAACTGTAAGTCTTTAATTTTCTTTCGTTTTTCGTATTCAAATGTAGCTGGCGAATTGAGTTGTTGTTGTCGATACTTTAATTGTGGAGAAGGATTTTTCAATCCATAAACACAGTTACGAGAAAAGAGTTTTTAATATTTAATGATAAAACAGGACAGCAATCTCTTAATTTGATAATATTTTTATTAATGTAAACAAATTGCCAAGCGCACTTTCTTATTGACTAATTCAATATTTAAATCGTACTACTACTATTCAACTATTATTAACTAATTTTTAACTTCAAGGAAAGGAAAGGGGAAAGAAATTTAAAACGTATTTTTAAAAAATCATATTTTATTTTGATATATTCCTTTTTGGCGTTGCGACCATCAATTATATATCTTAAATACATCCTGTAACGCACAATTCTTAACATGTTTTACATCGCATAGTATTAATAACATCTAGATTATTCAAAGAATCTATATCTTCATAATCAGCATCCAGAGTCTCAATGATCAAATCGTATCGAGCAAGTACGCGTGGGCTATACCGCTCAAGAGTAAAGATGGAAGTGAGACTTGGCTGAGACAAGGCTGAAGTTATCGCTGAGATAATTCGAAAGAGCAAGAGATGTCTAAAAAATCTGCAGACTGATATGGGAAAAGAATTTTACAACATTGATGTGCAACGGCTCTTGAAAAAACACATCAATCATTATTCAACGTACTCCGTAATGAAAGCATCGATCGTCGAATGATTCAATCACATTAAAAAACGATATGTGGAAGATGTTTTTTTTACACTTAATAGAAACTATAAGTGGATCAATGTGCTGTCGCAGCGTGTATGAGATTATAACATGCGCAAGCATTGAATGATCGATATACGATCCGTCGATGTTACTCCCGCGATCGCTGAAAAACTCTTGGCCACGGTATACAGCAATGTAAAGATCGCGGATCCGGCGAAATTCAAAATAGGTGATTCGGTACGTGTGAGCAAATATAAAACCTGGGAAGGGTTATACATCAAGGATTGGACCACCGAGATGTTTAAAATTGTTAAAGTGCATACTGATCCCGTAACCTATCTACTGGACGATTATCGCGGAAAATCTATCTCTGGAGTGTTCTATGAACATGAGTTACATCGTGCGGCTTATCCGACGTGTATCTCGTGGAGAAAGTATTGCGCAGGAGAGGAGATGAAGTTTACGTAAAATGATTGGGATGCATCGCAATTCTGGATACACAAGGATAATATAGTTTAATTCATACAAACTGTACTTTCATAGAAAAAATGTATTTATTTTAAATATAAAAATATATATAAAAATATATGAAATACATAAGATGTATAAAATGTTTATTATTTATATCCATTTTTTCAATTTAATATATAAAAAATCTTTATTTTTTACTTTAAATGTAATACTATATATAATAATTATTTAGAGTTATACATTTCGATAATATAATACATTTCAATAACAATTACATACAATTACATTACACGACTTTTTTACAAAGGTATTCGATAATGTCCTCATGGTAATGTTTTGGTTGAATTCGATATGACGTATCGTTTATCGTCGTACGGACTCAGAGCGATTTTCGTCTCAGATATATTTGTATCGTATATATTTGTAATTTGTGTACATGTAATTTTAATCTTATGCATGACTGTTGATGCGTCATTTCAATTTCATCGTTTAAACATCAAGTGTAATCATCGAACGTTATAGTTTGCGCTACGATGTTACTTTTGACACTTTTTGTTTTTTTAGTGTTCTTTTTATCATCTATCCTCAATACATTTGCTCTGAGTCCGACGAATTCAGTCAATATTGAGCCATTATTTTCATGTTTCATTAATCCTGGCACTTTTTTGTTCGCAAGTGGTATACCATACACATATCAATAGAATAATCACTATCGAACCTAGTGATATCACGCTTCATTTGTTCATAAACGTCATCACACTCGAATATATGAGGCTATCAGTATCTGTACATAATTTCACATTTTTTGCGACACAGCGATAACATATATTTGTGGTAAAATTCATACAAACAACCTTCAATATATCGAATATATACATTTCTACGTAGATCGATTTGTTGAACTTCAACTCAAGTATACAAATTCCAATTGCTATCAGATTTTCAGAAAATACACTTCTGCCATGTATTTTTGCTGTGTATTAAAATTCGACATCGCGATAATTGCCTTTGCGCCATATCGTCCATCCCATTATGTTAATAATTTTACATCGATGCGATTGTGCATGTTTTCCATGATTTTGCCAAATACTGCATTATTCATTAACTTAAATAAATTTTTCTCAAAGTCATTCTTCGCAAGCATTCTAAATTTTCTATTTAGTTTTACGTAATTGCGAAGTCATGATGATTGTGCGAATTGTAATACGCGAATCTTTGCAGCTATTGGTGTATTCATCATCCAATAGCAGCGAGCGCTCATGAATCTGCTGAACGCGACCATTATGTATCTGTGAAAAACGACCTGTTGGATTTCGTTAAGAAGATTATGTAGGCGAAGGAGCATAATGAGGATGGATTGAGAATTATTAAATCTATTAATCAAATCTATTGTCAAGGATAATTTTTTATTTAAAAGTATCAAAAAATATAAATTTTTTTTATTTTGATGTTTCTACGCCCTCCGCGGCCTCCGTGTCCTTCGTGACCTCCGCATCCTCCACGTTCTCCATGCCGGTATCCACAGTTGTTCGGGCTGTATCGACTTTTTTGCCAACGTATGGCCATAATGAATTTGAAAATGATTAAAATTTAGTACCTACATAAAAACTTATTGGATTTGAGTAAGTTAATTTTAATCATTTTAATATAACATGTGTGTATATTTTTAACTTAAAAAAAAATTAATAAGTTAAAATATATAAAAATAACTTGAGGAAATTAAGTTGAAATTAATTTACTATCCAATTAATGTACTAATTATCCAACTCTATCCAACTCCACTTACTTATTATAAGGTAATTTTTACTTACGTTTTTCTTCCGTTGGTGCGAGGCATGCATATGGCGCGGGCAGCTATGTCGTCATTAATCCTACAAGCGGCTGCGACCTTGAGAACCGAACAATGATATTTTTTAATACATCGAACTTAGCCCTCAGGACCGCTAATTCCAAGTCTTTGACATCGTTCGCCATTGAACTAAAAAAAAATCATGAAAAATAACTTTAGTATAACAAATGAATATATAAATTTTGTAATATATTTATGATAAATTATTGTATCTACTTACATGTCTCGTCGTCCATTTTTTATTTTGTTTTTCACAGATCATGACGGTGACATGGTGAAAATATAGAAGGAGAGCTATTCCTGAATATGCAATAGCCTAAAAGTAATGAGGAGCGGACAGCCAATCATGAGAGGACCCATTTTATGAAAATCTAATATGGCTGTGTTTACTGTTTTGGAGCATACAGTGTTATTTTATAAATAGACCCTTCATGATTTGTTGACAAGATATGTCCTCCCATCCTTTGCCATCATGATGCGCGCAATAATTTACCTTCTATAATTCCACCATGGATGGTGATAGTTTACGCCTGTATCTAAAAGCGCAATCACTCACTCAGCTGTATCTGATTGGTTTATTCCGTTAGATCAAAGTCACGGACTACTAAAGGTATGGTGCACACAGACCTAATAAACAGCGTGAGATTATTAGTTATATAATTCATGATCATGATAAATGTTATTGAATATAAGGATTTATGATATCGATTATGGTGTTGATAGCGTGCTTGCTAGATATAGTCATAGGTCGTGTTCAGCAGACTCAACTGTTACGGAGCAAATCAGTGAGTTGTGTTGAATTTTTGTTTTTCTGTGGTGATTTTGAAAAGGTCTTTATTAATAAAAGATATTCCAATACGTTTTTTTCGTAAATGTTTTATGTTAAATTTGATTATATAGTTTTTTAAAAAGAATGATCGCGAAAATTGCCCGTTTTTTGGGCACTCAATTTTGGAACTGAACTGTGTACCAAAAATTTTACCTTATATTCAGATATTAATCACAGAGAGGTTTAAAGATGAGAATTATTATCAGAACAGCGAGGGGTGGAATCAAACAGATTTTCGCATATACGTAATAGAGATATATGCCCCCTCCCCCCTCCAGCTATGATAACGATTGTTACCCTTCAAACTTCTTTGTAATTAATATCTCATTGCAGTATATTATTTGGCACACAGTTCAATTAAAAAATTGAGGACCTTCAGTTAAAAAACAGTGAAAAAAAAACCTCTTTTTTCAGGTCACTTTTTATATTTGTATATGTAAAGATATTTTAATATGTATAATGTTATAATTTTATTACTGTTATATTAATACAGGTGAAGATTTTGAATATTTCGATATTAACTTTTCGTGAGAAGTATCGTGAGTATTAATAGATATTAATAGATATTAATTTTATGAATAATAATAACGATGTAACATCTTTCTTTAATATAAGTAAAATGTTTAAGATTTTCGGTGCACCACCCTTTATATTACATGTGTAATAAAATATACACTTAAATGAAAATTATTTCATTAGAAAATAAATCTTTTATACGTAGTTATACACAGGGTGTTTGAAAATTAGTGATAAGTCTTTCGCAGAGTCAGAATGGACTAAACTGAGAAGAAAAGTCCTCTATCATTTTGCAATTTTCGCAATACTTAACAAGATATTAATTGCTAAAAATTATCGAAAATTGGTCTTCAATAATTTTTCCCATTTTCCTTCCTTGTAGATCTTTCCTAAGGCTTTCAAACGATCGGAAATAACAGATTGAGCACAATTTGTTTCTGCAAGTTGTTTTTGCGTTTGACATGAGTCTTCATCCACCAATGTCTGCAATTCTTCGTCTTCAAATGCTTTTGGCCGTCCAGAACGCTCTTTGTCCTCCACATCAAAAGCATCACTTTTAAAGCGTCGAAATCATTCTCTGCATATTTTATCGGAAGGAGTACTATCATCATAAACTTCTACAAGCATTCGATGAGCTTCAGCTGCAGTTTTCTTCCATTTAAAGCAAAAGATTAATACTTCGCGCAAATGACGCTTATTTGGCTCAAATGTCGACATTTTCGATGCGGTAAAAAGCAATGTTATTGATGCAAACGTATACTTTTATATACTGAATTTTATTGACAGATGGTAAAACTAAAAAATTAAGCTTGGTTTAGACATTAGAGTTATCGACAGTTCTAGCTATAGCTACTCGTCGCTAGATGGATAGAACTTTTCAATACACCTAATACATTTGATAGGACAATCTTGAATCAGACAAATATGGCGAAACTTCTCATGGAAAATCCTTTGTCACTTGAATTATTACAATATAATCAGGCACACAACAATTAGGTATTTTTTTTGTTACTAATAAATTCTTTTATAGTATTTTGCCTGATAATGAGATTTTTGTTATGGATAATAGCGCATAATCATGGATAATACCTTAGATCAGGTTGTGACCCCTATATATCCTGCAATACAGAGATGTTGATGATCAACACCATCTAGTGAAAAAACCGCGGGTACTTTTTAGATGACCCAATATAAGTCTATAAGAAATATCGCTAGATTCAAAATGTCCGATACTCAAGGTGCATTCAGATGCAAACGTCAAACAGTGGAAGCAACAACCAATCAGCGAGGCAATACAAGCAGTGGTGTAAAAAATATTTTTTATAAAGTAAATATTAATGCCACTGCACTTATCGCATCGCTGATTGATTCCTATTTCTGCTGTTTGACACTTGCATGTGAATGCACCTTTATACTGTTCATTGAAAACGTGACAACACATAGCTGTGAATAGTGAGTTGGAAAGTGGAACTTTATTGAATATTTTTGAGATCCTGATAACAAGCCGCAGAAACAAACAAAATCCAGACGAATTAATAGATATATCAGTACAACTTTTCGGATCAGAATTATTCGGTTTATCCCTAGATGGATTATTACGGATACAATCGGATTGTTTCCCAATCGATCAAAAAGGTTTTCCAGCTGTCGAAATGTCGATTCCGAATAAATTAATGAGAATTAATCAGCAATAATGTGCTAATCATTTCTTCCACCATACACTAAAAAAAGATGATTAAATATAGTATAGCGTGTTTTTATTGGTTGCTACAGTCAAATGTTAGATAGAAAATGTTATGACATATTTTATCATTCAAATTGTTGCAGCAGCCAATCTTTTTTTTCATTGTAAAATTTCATTGATATGATTTGGAGGTTGAATATGAAATTGTTTCTCTCGGTACTGTTACTTTAGAAAAATTTATTTTAAGTAAAAAAAGTAAATTATAACATTAAATTCGAAGCGCCACTACGATCTGAGTATTAAGATGTTGAACTAATATATATATTTTCAAACAATTGAATTATTAGGTGTACAAATAAGTTTCCGCCGTTTGACAAAAGACGGCGCCACTAGCAAGCTATGGCTAAAATTGTCTGATGTAGAACATTATATCGTAAGGTTGGACATCTGTCAACAACATAACCTTGAAATACTAGTAATTTTGTATCAGCATCATATATTTTTTTTTGTGCGAAAATGCCGAGTTTTGAGCCGAATAAGCGTCATTTGCGGGAACTTTTGATTTACTTCTTTAATTTGAAGAAATCTGCAGCTGAGGCTCATCGATTGCTTGTAGAAGCATATGGTGAGGCTGCCTTAAGTGAAAGAAGTTGTGAATGGTTTCAAAAATTTAAGAACGGTGAATTTGACGTCGAAGACAAAGAACGTAGCGGAATGAACGGTGAATTTGATGTCGAAGACAAAGAATGTAGCGGAAGGCCGAAAGTGTACGAAGATGCGGAATTGGAAGCATAATTGAATGAAGATTCGTGCCAAACGCAAAAAGAACCACTTACATTAGGAGCGACTTGAGCAATTTCACATCGTTTGAAATCATTGGGAATGATTCAAAAGCAAGGGAATTGGGTTCCATATGAACTGAAGCCGAGAAACGTTGAACGCCGATTTTCCATATGTGAAATGCTGCTTGTCTGGCATAAACGAAAGGGTTTTTTACATCGTATAATCATTGGTGATGAAAAATGGATCCACTACGATAACCCAAAGAAGAGGAAATCATGGGGATCACCTGGCCATGTATCAACATCGACAACCAAGCCGAATATTCATGGAAAAAAACTCATGTTGTGTATTTGGTGGGATGAGCTTGGTGTCGTGTATTCTGAGTTGCAAACCGAACGAAATCGTTACTGGGGCTCTCTACCGAACACAATTGATGAGATTGAGCCGAGCACTCAAAGAAAAACGCGCCCACTACTACTCCAGGCATGACAAAATTATTCTCCTGCATGATAATGCTCGACCACATGTTGCGGCGCCGGTCAAAACCTACACTCAATTATCCCACTCGCCGTATTCACCAGACATTGCCCCTTTCGATTACCATCTATTTCGATCGATGACGCATGGCCTGTCTGAGCAGCACTTCACATCATATGAAGATATGATGATATGAAGATATCAAAAATTGGATCGATAATTGGATAGCCTCGAAAGATGAAGCGTTCTTTCAATATCCATATGCTACCAGAAAGATGGGAAAAAGTAGTGACTAGCGATGGACAATACTTTCAATAAAACATTATGTATCGTTCTTTCACAATAAATGCTTAATTTTTGATAAAAAACGGCGGAAACTTATTTGTACATCTAATATAATATAATTATAATATAATTCTATCATTTTGTATATAAAAGTATTAAAGTATATTTATCGAATTAAGAAGTTATTAGTTTACAAGATACTTTATTATAGTATATACATACAGGATGTCTCATAATTCTTAATTAATATTTTGGAGAATGAAAGAGGATGAAATTATGAATAAAAGTTCCTTTCCGAATTTTGGCTCAAACCATTATTTATCGAATTATTAGCAATTAAATTTGATCAATCAGATAGCGCGCAGCTGGAGTATGCAAGAGCATAGTTCTAATTTTTCGCATTAATAAATAAATAAATAAATCAGTAAATAAGTAGATAAATAAATAAATAAAATGAAATAATATAAATAAAATATTTATCTAAAATAAAATAAAATAAATAAATGAAATAAGTAAATAAAAAATAAAATCAATAAATAAAATAAAACAAAGTACATAATCTAAAATAAAATAAAATAAAATAAAATCAGGCTTTCATGTAGCGACAGATTATCATTTCAGTTTATGCGTTGCAAGTTTGTGTTCGGCTTTGATATATTCATTGTATACAAAGTTCCAACTTATGGCCCCACTCGTCTTGAGCAGATAGAGCGAACTAAATTGAGTCGAAAAGTCCTCTACTATTTTACAATGCTCACAATAACTAAATATTAGATATTCATTAGATCATTAGATATTAACGATTTAAAAATAGTCGAATACGTCCGCCCGACCTACTATTGCTGAAGGTATGGTCCACCGAGTGCACGACACGCAGGCTGCGAAGAACAGGAATGACCTAGGCGCGCCGCGCCATTTGAGCTTAGGAGACTTGCGGCGGTGAGCGGGGCGCTTGCTCACTCTTCGCGCGCCAAGCTATCGATTGCGGATATTCGGCGCTTTAGAAATAATATCTCGATTGCGAAAATTGGGAAATGATCAAGAACTGATCGAAATAACTTAGTTTAGTTTGTTCTGAAGCGTGCACATATACATACAGAAAAATGTTACATAAATATTATTTGTTTCAAGTAAATAATAAGAGTATTTTAAAATTATATAATATTATCAAGAAAATTTGTTGTAATGATATAATCGTTACTCAAAAGAAGAATAAAAATTGTGTTTTCTCTTAGCTAGAATGATATTTTTCTGCATTTTTCTACAC